GGCGGGTCCGGCGGCTTCCGGGCGACATAAACTCGGGAAAAGTCCTCGTTGGAAAAGCGAGAAAGTCCGAGCGCCAGCCTGAGCGCAATTTGCATAATTGTCGAGAGTTTGAATTACTGATTACAACTTGTAAGCGACCGATGTTTAAGGTATAATTTACTTAATTATCCGACAAGATTATGGCAGTTGTGTTGAATCCCTGGTAGGAAAAGCAGCACTGATTCAGCGTCCCCGATTCGGGGCTGCGTGAATTGCGCCACTGGTTCCTCGCATCATTATTATTTTTATTTTTCTAACGAAAATCCCGCCTGTCTAATCTTTTCGTGCAAACTTGGGGCTGAGGAAGCAGGTGGGAGGTGAGACAGGCATTTTCGGACGCCGTGAGCACACTTTCATCTAAGCTTAGAAAATACTTCCCTGCCAAATTGCTACCTTTCTGCAGCCATTTGATCTATGCAGTGATGTGTGTCAGACAAAATGAACATCGTTTTCAAAAGCAACGACTTCTCCCAGTGTTTTAAGGTGCATCCGGATCACTGCTCATTTCCATGAGAGGAGCAAGTGTGTGTTTATTGTGGCAGGGACAAAAGATGACCCTGGACAGTGCTGGCTGCGGAGAGCTCGGCTATCTCCGTGCCCGGGGACCCGCCGCCTGCGAGCTGTGATTAAAGGCCCGAGGTAGACCCACGTCTCGAGATTTAAACCAGTTCACCCTTCCCTCGCTTTTTTTTTCCTAAGGATCAGGGGGAAAAAAATAACAGAATAATAATTTAAAAAAAAAAAAAAAAAAAGCCCCCACAAAAACCCCACCTCCATCCGACTAAAGGAATGATCTAAAAATAAGCCCGAGGAGGACGGGGCTGCTGGAAGTAACTGTTGGAGGTGTTATCTGCCTGATCTAGCACACAGGTGCTGATTTGCAGCAGTTGCATTAAGCCCATCAGCAGCAGGGACTCCGCATTATCATTTTTGGTGGAGTCTCTCTTTATTTTTTTTAAACGACGGTGTTTTTCTTCCAGGGATGTTTCTTTGAAATGCAGTTCGCGACGATTATTAGCGAGTGTGCTTGCGCAGCTCCTGGCGTCATTAAGACTAGGAATCTAAATAATAAAAGACAGGGGGAGCTTAAAGTTCATTTGTATTAAAGGGACAAGATGGATTTAGAAAGAAACGAGGAAGGGAACCGTCGAGCTTCCCAGGTTTGGGATCAGCTCTTTTTCCTTCCAAAAAGACTCGGCATTGTAGCAACGTTGGTCATTTTTACCATAACCTCAGAAGCGAGATTTTCTTTCTGCTCAGAAATGTCACACTGCGAGGTGACCACGATTGTCTTATTCTTCAGAATTGGCAAGGTCTGAACACCTTCGTTTTGTTTCTTTTGGTAGCCAAAGTCACGAAGATGAATTCAGTTTCTTATTATTTGTTGTGTACATATCAATAATGTTTATAAATAGAGGCGTGGAAGAGGATGAGGGCTTTATAAGAAATTACCTAAACAAGGCGACCAAAAAAAGCACTTGGCTTCCTAGAAAACAAACCGAGAAAGCAGAGACGAGGCTAAACCCGGGGAAGTTTGAGACAAACTTTCCCGTCCATCCACTCGCTCCTCGGTCTCTGCTGGCA